GACTATTTTTGCACAGGATGTGGAGATGGTTCATACATGATCGACATTGAATGACGAGGACTTGGAGTTAAAGTACTAATCTGTAAAATATTCTTTCTGGGTTTAAAGCAGGGGCTAGAAAACTAAAGCCCATGGCCCAAACCCGATCTGCTGTCTGCTTTTGTAAATAAAATCTTATTGGAACACAACCATACTCATTTATTTACATGTTATCAACGGTCGCTTTCATGCTGCAATTGTAGAGTTGAGTAGTTGCAACAGAGACCACACGGCCCACAAAGCCTAAACTATTTGCTATCTGGCCCTTAACTAAAAGTTTGCCAGTCCCTGTTTAGAGTGAAATGATCTAGGGATTAGTAAATATACCAGTAAATAAATTCAGCTCTGGAAAATTTGTGGAAATTGCTGACGGAAACCAACCGAAACTTAGTAAGCCATACAACTTTATATGAAGGGTATTCTCTCAATATTTTTTCTTCTCCTATGCTCATTCTGGAAGATTGGAGCTGCTGCCCAACCCTCTGGAGTTCATTTCAGTCTAGCTGCTACTTCATTTCTACTGTGAGGCAATCTTGGGCCGAGCACTGGAAGAACTGCTCCATGATGGGGGCTGATCTAGCGGTGATCAGCACTAAGGATGAACAGGTACTTTCTAATAAGCAAAGAGGTCAGCTAGCCTATTTCCTCTCTTGACTGAGGAAAAGTGTCTTTTTCTATTGCCCTGAAAGTTGGAGGACAGAGAAAAGACTTCTGGTTTAAAAAAAAAAAAAAAAAAAGGAAAATCTCCCTAATATGGAACATTTATTTTTCCTTGTTTGTTTTAGTTGAGACAGAGTGTCACTCTGTCGCCCTGGGTAGAGTGTAGTGGCGCCATGGTAGCTTGCTGCAACCTCCAACTCCTGGGCTTAAGTGATTCTTCTACCTCAGCCTCCTGGGTAGCTGGGACTACAGCTGTACACCGCAACACCCAGCAGGTTTGTTTTTTTTTTCTTTTTGGTAGAGGAAGGGTCTCTCTCTTGCTCAGGCTAGTCTCAAACTCCTGAGCTCAAGAAATCCTCCTGCTTTGGCATCCCAGAGTGCTAGGATTACAGGTGTGAGCCACTGCCCCTGGCCTGAGTTCTAATTTGAGTTATTGAATTTTTCAAATCTAGAATTTCTCTTTGCCTCTCTTTCAAATACACTGTCAAATTTTATAATGTTCAATCCAATGTTCAAGTTTGTCTTTTATCTTCAAGAACATAAGAAGCACAGTCATTTTATAGTATGTCTCAAATGGTCCTCATGGGCATAATTATCTTTCATTGTGTGCTAGACATTATATTTGAAAAATTACTTAAAAAAATAATTGGAGGGTTAAGATAATGTTTTCT